AAGAACCGGCCCAGCGCCCTCGCCGGGCACCACCCCCACCGATCAAGTTAATGATGCTGTGCTGNCTGTGCAGGTTCCGCAGNCTGAGCAGGCTGAAGCGCCCAGTGTGTGAAGCTAATTTAGTGCGGGAAAGCCTGCTGGTTGGTGTCTTAGGGTTCTATGGCATCTTGCAGCAGACTCAGGTTGACAGGACTGACGGAGCAGACAAAGTGCAGAAGATTCGGCCGGCGGGACCCACGTGGGGACATGAAGCTGTTGGGCTGCAGTTCTTGGCACGATGTAATTCAAATCGGCAGCAGAGGACCTGTGATGATGGTGATGATGGTAGTGGCTCACCCCGCCGGTGGTGGTGGTGGTGATGGTGAGCCAGGGGAGCTCCATGCAGTGGAAATATCGTGAGGCGTGCGGCAGCTGGTGTATGTGTATTTGGACGGGAGGCCCTTCACTTTGCACTGCGCTGCTACAAACAGCCCAGAGTGGAGTTCGTGGAATGCTGCTCGGGGGGCTTTAAGGCGGGCAGTCGGGGGGGCCGAAGACATTTTTTAACCCCACGACGTTTTGGTGTGTGTATTTGTGTGTGTGTGTTACATGGTTGGGGGGTGCGTGACCCCATACCTGTAAGACTACCCATACGAGCCGAAGGCCCAAGGGCAATACTACAACGCCTAAAAGCCACGGAGAAAAGGAAAAACACTGCACATCAGCCCAGATTAGCGTCCAAAGGGGGTAATTGAGTTTCGGTGAGCCCACATACGTTCCAACATCCTCGCCAGACGTGCGGGTTCCCATTGCATGGCCTCCAACATGCTCTGTTGATGATCAAATCCCTCTTCAGCACGAATATCATTATAGGCTGGGCATTCCAATAACACGTGTTTTTCATCCTCAATTCGGCTATTAGTACCACAACAGTGGCAAAACCGCTGCCCCCTGGGGACATGGTACTTGCCCCTTCGTGCTCTGTTTGCCTCCAAAGCCCAGCAACATAAACGAAACTGCATTAGCTTACGATGTGCTAAACGAGGAATGAAAACCTTAGCATGTGTTGGCCACATGACGGCTGCGGCTCCCGAAAAGGGCAGCCCCATCCAGTGCTTATACTTCGCCATTTGCACTCCCGGTTGCTTCCCATCTGATGGGTACTCCTCTGGCAAGACAGTCAGACGCGTATGGTCCCAGCCACTCATCAAACGCTTTCTTAGTGCCGTTATTATCGCTCCTTAGGGTAGAGGTCTACTCAACAACCAGTCAACACGCTCCTTTACCCCCCACGACTTCTTGCGGTATTCCGCTCCAAATGTTGCACTCCAAGAAGGAAAACAGTCGTAACATTGAGATTCCCCAACCCTCCCATTCCGGGTTGGTCAGGGCATCGGTTATCTCCTGCCGTAAAACGGCATGAGCAATGGATCCCACTTGCTTTTGAAGGCGGTTCCAGAAACGGAGAATCTGCGTCACCATGTAATATTGTAAGGGGAGTTCAGCCAGCTCCGCGTACAACAGCCTGTGGGATGGCCGTGCCGTCCCCACTACCTGCCTCATGAATAAAATCTGCAGCTGGACTGCACTATCCTTCAAACAGGCTTCGAACATGCCCTCCGCAAGGTTGGCTTTATCCCGCCGCCTTCCCGCCCTGTGTGTATTTGCGTAGGCATGTGTGTGTGTGTGTGTGCGTCGCTGGATGGCAGATAAGTAGAAATGCCTTGCAGAGTACGTTCGTGGCGAGTACGGGCCGAGAGTCCAGGAGCCCTCCCCTTGACCAAAATTTTACTGCGCGTCTCGCCCGCCTGTCTGGATACATTTCCTCCGAGGTCTAAGCTCACTCACCTTGAATGGGCAAGAGAGAGAAAGCTGCCATTTAAGCTCTAAGCGGCTATAGTGCTGTGTATGTCTGTATGTATGTCTGCTCGTCCAGTGGTGCCTTGGCCTCGGACTGGGGAAGAAAACTGTGACGGCTCTTAACGTTTAACACGGGTCGCTTAGATAGCCACGGCTCTAAAATGGTCCTTAAGTGGTTTTTTTTACATGCAAACCTTTTTAGCTAGTCCCTTTCCGGCTCTTTTTGTATTATCATCCCGTCAGACGTTTCAGGATTGCCTTTACAAATCAGATGCTAAGAAAGGTGGCGCACTCATTCTGTGTCTATTCACATCAGCGCAGCAGTTGGCCAGTCCTTGGTTCCTTGGTTTGTATTGGACTGTTGGGCGCCGCCGCCGTCAGGATACGTCCACCACTCCTATGTATGGTGACGCACAACATCTGCCCCCCTGTACCGCCCCCTGTTGGCTTCAAAACCCAAACACCAAACCTACGGAACCCCCACACACCACACCGCACCGCACCGCGCCATGATGGCAGGGCGGACTACACCGTCTAACGGCAAACGGCTCCTGAACGGCCTTCCGAACACCCAATCGCCTGGTGTCGACACCAAAACGAAACTCCTGGTAGTGTTGAAATCGGCTCGACACACACACAGGCACATGCATGTCCCGAATGTACTGCCGCCACCACCGCCAGCATTACCGCCACAGCAAACCATCATGACCGCTCCGTCACCGCTCGGTGGAATGCCCGGAATTAGTGCTTTCTGTGTTCCCCCATAATCTGTTAGTGGCCAAGTAGTTACTGTGGGAATTTCCTTTGGTGAACAAATTCCCATTTGTAAGTTGGCTGTCAGACTGTCGGAAGGCCGTTTGGTGGCTGGATTAGCGCTTTTCTCAGCCGCAGCTGCTGTGCATGCATCCTTTAGGCAGCGGGCAGCTAGACACCCTAGCTGCCCATTCACAGCTTTCAAAATTACAGCAAATCTTTGAGGCACCACCCATAACGAGTATCCATGGATAACGTATTTCAAAAGGATGCTTGCCATGCTTTTTGCATAAAATGAACTGACTCAAATCTTATTTCACTGGTGAAGGGGGAAATACATGTTTTTACTTATAAACGTTGAAAAAAGCCGCAAAACCCATAAAACCCGG